GCGCCTTGAGGTTCAATCTCGAGCCCCGCTAGCCACCGCTCGGCGGCTAGTACATTAGAGGCAGAAATAGCACTACCACAGTTAGTATACTTGATTGAAAGCAACAGGACGGCGAGTATGTGGTTCAATGGCTAGGGCGTTCGACTTCTAGCCAAAACGTTGTGAGTTCAGACCTCAGATGTTGCAAAATCTGGGGTTGGGTACGGCTGGCTGCTGACAGCTAATAAGTCAGTCTTCCTTGTCTTTGTTGTTAATCTATTGCTGCCTATAATATACTCGCCCTTGAGCGGCTGGTAATGGGGCTTGAGATTGAGTCCAAGGCACAATGGGATGAGTGTTCCTGTTCCAGTGTTCCGGATTTGTCTTGTTGTTGTGTATCGTATGCGTGATTGCGGATGTAGTTATGCCACGACTGGCTGAATAGCGATGACGGCTTGGACTACCACTCTCCTGTTTAATCTACTAAGGCAATTTCGTTAGCTACCTAGCTAGCATCAACTCTCTCCTTGACACCTTCAGTTGTGGGCGGGTGGGTGGCACAAATGCCAGACCAGACTGACTGATGTTAGCTTGTACTAGTCGGCGAATACCAGGTAATCGAAACACGCCTAAGCTGCCACTCTGGACCCCAAGATCTTTTTTTTCACCACCACGGCACTCAGATTTCAGCTCCTTAATAGGGTTTAAATAATCGTCATCATCATCACTATTATTACAAATACCACAACTACTACCATCTTCCTCCTCCTCCTCCTCCTCATTGAGAGTACCATCACCATCATTATAATCTCTGGCACCCTCATCCTTGTTATTACCGCCAGCCGCTATCAAAATCGACGTCATCATAATAAGCATCATCACCACCGCCATTATCATTCTGCTGAAATGCTCGCTAGCTCTGCGCGCTAACATAGCGGGTATAAGCCTACGCAGACCGTGTGACTGAAGCTTCAGTCAGCAAGGACGAAAAATGTCCTTCAGCAGAGCTACCCTGAGTTCTGGCTGGCGGAGCAATAACCCGAATAAACGGAATAAATCCGCTGTAAGCTCTATGATGTACTTCTCTTCTCCAATACCTGACCTGAACAAGTAGCTGACACACTCAACCGGTGGTCTGGCTAAGCCGAGCTGGCTGGATAGCGAAACACGGGGACCAGATTGGGGCATGACAGGCATTATTCAGGTGTTGATGGCGCGCGTTGATGCAGATTTAACTACCAGCCAAACGTAGCTTTTATGGCAATCCCACTCCGTGGGATCTGAGTGAGACATGGCGGCTCCAGCCGCCTGCACCCGATCCCGCCTC